CCCCTTCTTGTGCCCAGCCCACAGCTGGCTGGCTGTGGTCCCTTGCTGTGTGTTAGGCTTTGGTTGCATGAAAGAGAAAAGCTGAATGAACAGAAGTTGAAAGGAGATTGTTTATTTTCTCTTGTGCGAGGGAATGCTGGCCTTTGGCAGCCCTGGGCAGCTAGGACACCTTCCCAGGGTCCTTGGAGAGCCAGCTCTGTCCAGCTCTCCACTGCCTCATCCTGGCTGGGCTGGGCCCTCATCCTCATGGACCCATATAGAGGGTGAGGCTCCAGCCATCCCATCCACGTCCTAGGCAGCAAACAGGAAGAGAGAAGAGGGGCACAACTGCCTCCTTTTAAGGTGATTTCCAGAAGCCCATGTAACAGCTGCTCACATCTCATTGGCCAGAACTTGGTCACATGACCACTCCTAGCCAAGGGAGTTTGGGAAATGTAGTTTTTCTAGCGGATGCGCTCTCATTCCTGGTAAAAAGGGGAGGGGTTGCGGGGGCTGCTAACAGACCTGCCAGCCTTACAGAGCACCCTAGCAGCTGCACCCGTTTCCCTGCCTGCCTGTCCCACTTAACTTTAACCAGCTTTGTTCCATTTGGGCGTGTTGGGGACCTTCAGCCTTACCCAGTCACGGCCAAACCGTCAGGGGACACACCTGGACTGCAGCGTGCCCCTGGCCCACTGTGCTCACTTCCCCGCTCAGGACCCCCAGTGCCCACCGCCCCACCCCCACGGCAGGCTCATGCCACCTGCCCGTCCTGCCGCAGCCCTCCCCTCCCCCTTCAACCGTGGCCCTGCTGGCACCTCATCCCTGTCCCCCCGCCACGGTCCCACTTTGGTGTCAGTGCCATGAGGCCTGGCACAGCCCCAGGACCTCCACTCCTCCTTGCCGCGCTGTACTGGAGTCCAAATAAACTCTATAGTGTCTCCACCCGACCCGGGATTGCTTCTGCCGGCTGCCTGCAGTGTGGCCTCCTTTCAGAGCCGAAGTTACCAAAAGAGCTGTCTACGCTGGCTTCCCTTCCCCCGCCCATCACACCACCCTCTTGCCCGCCCACAGCCCATCCTGCGCCCTTGCCGGGTCTGCTGCTGCTCCTCCCTGCCGCGGACGCTGCTGATTCCTTCTCAAAGCTCGGGGGAACCCATTGCGCCCACCCCTGTCCTGCAGAGGCAAGGATGAGCCCCGGGGGCCAAACCCAGCTCTGCCCCATCTCAGACGTGCCCCCAGCCACACCTCACTCCCCTCCCAGGACCCACTGAACTCCCGCTCTGTCCCCCCTCCACACGGCAGCTCTCCTGTGGCCCCCTCTCCAGGCCCCCCAGCCCTCCCCAGGCCAGTGGTGCTGGCCCATCACTCAAGCCTCCTGTGCCCCTCCCCCCTTCCCACCCCTTGCTCCAGGTCAGCCAGCGTGACCTACCATGTCCCCCATCCCAGGGTGGCACCCAGGTCTCCATCCTGGGCCACTGAAGTGTCACTCAGCTGAGGGACCTTCCCCAGCCATGTGCGGCTTCCTGGAGGGTGTGGCGTTTCCACGGGGAAGGGCAAGGCTGGACAGACAACTCGGGGCACCTGGGGGCAGGCAGGGGAGTAGCAGCAGGGAGGGGGCGGGGAGGAATCCAACAGGTCATTCTCAGGGATGAAGGGACTGTCACTCAAGGGGAGGGTGCAGAGCTGAGGCACACAGGTCCACGGGGTGGTGGGGGCAAGTCCCATCCATTCCACGGCCACATCCCCTGTAGGCAGGCCACAATTCCGGGTGCCATGTCCCACCCCATACCAGACAGCCGTGTGGTGGCCCCCTTTGGAGAAGCCCCTGCTGGGCACTGACAGGTCCTCCCTCTTGCGAGGACACAGCTGATGGCAGCTGGGCGCCCATCCCCAGAATAAAGACAACTTTTCCTGCTTTCTGGGCAGCTGGACAATGCCGTGTGACTAGGTTTGGCC